GAAGACGTCTCAGTTCCGCTGCTCGAATAGGCCAAGTCTCACAGCCATACAACAAAACAGCCCGTACTGTAGCATGATACACACGTCCCTTGAGTTTCAGGGATAAATCATTCTGAAGCCATAGGTGTCTTAAATTAGCAAACGCGGCTCGAGCCTTGCAGATTCATGCATTACAACCAGAACTAATACAACTGCCAAGATACGTTAAACGCTCCACAACTTCCGGTACCTCTTCCTGGATTGTAAGTGGCGTGTTCAGTGAGTGCACGTCCACGCACATGAGCTTACGCTTTATGGGTGCAAAGTGCTTACCAAAGGACGGGATGTCTTTGGTCAATTCATCCAGAAACACCTTCGCCTTCTCCTCTTCTTCGAACATGAAGAGGAGTAGCTCGAAGCAGTTACTCGTCTTTGAATGAATGTACTCCACAAGGCCACCGTTGTAGTATATTTTCTTCATCAGGTTGTCACAGATGCCTTAGGTATCAAATGAATTCAATTTGGATGAAATCCCACGAAACGCACTAAGTCGCACTTTAATTTGGTTTCGATGAGAGATTCGGTTGATATTTTGTTGGCACCAACACTGTTTGCAAATGAGCATGATTCACCCACTGCGTTCAATTTTGGTTTAAATAAATTTAAACGCTGACACAAACTCGGGAATCGCGCCTACTTGATGAGTCCCAAGAAAGGAGAGGGCAGTCGTGGGCTGTTGAAGAGATCTCAGAAACTTTATGAGAATTATGTTCGATGGAACAATTATTCGCCTAGTTATGAATCTTGGCTCCATTTGTGGCAATCCCTCTAAGAAAAAGTGATGACCAGAAATAACTTTACATTCTTCCTGGAATGTTGTATTTTCCTCGAAGATACTCTGGTTTTTCTGGGTGCTGTTGCAACATTCATTTAATTCAATATGAAATCAAACTGTATTCTCTTTGTCCCTTGATAAAGATGATAACTTTGGATCTCAGAAGTTGAGGCGAATGTCCATAAGGCAAATTTTATAACAATTTCGTTCTACCGGTATTTCTTTGATCCTGTTTAGAATACTGGACTCCAGTTTTGGGCTGGCAAAGCAAAATATGAATACAAGGGCTCCGTAGGGAATGGAGTTGCAGTGTAATTAGTTCTTGTGGCCCAGAGTAAGGATGCTTTCCTCGCTATTCAGCTGTGTGTAAACTGAGTCTCAAGGCGTCCATTCCAAAATTTTGTAACGCTCCTGTCAGTAGAGCCCGTCCATGCTAAAAAACAAGAACTACTGTGTAGCTGTTAAATCACTGTTAAACCATCAGCATTATTCATCTCACGAAATTTCGATAGAGGATTTCGGACTCACAACCTCCCGGTGCTGTTTGAACACCAGCCACTACTCGTGGCTGGTTAACTCAGATTTAGACAGAATATAGCGCCACCAATCCTTCAGTCATTGAATCCATATCACGTAGTCGCACATGTTGACTGGCTCCTTGAGTGACGACTCAGACGAGCCCTCATTGATCGAGTGAATTTTATTCGTCAATTGAGCTACTCACTGATTGTTAGTAGGCTGATGTGATTTGAGAAATTTGATGGAGATTTCTTCCCACCTTTGCTTGATTTTACTCCTCAGGTCGAGGACAGCCCTCTACCGGTTTTACCTTTGTTGGGGCTCACTCCCTGGATTTCAGCTGGGATTCAAGTAAATTCCCCGGGTTAAAACCACCCTAAGTTGCAAATAGTTTTCAGCCGTCATAAGCAGCCGTGGTGTCCTGATAATCATCTCTTGAAAAATTAGGGTTCAATAGCTCAAAAAACAGGACCGTCCGAATGTAAGCCATTTCCAATGAGAAATAAACGGGAAACTACTCACAAGCCTACTGAAAACTCTTCGACAGCCCACTACCGTTTTCGCCCTTCTTGGGGCTCATCAGGTGGGCGCAGTTCTCGAGTTTCCTTCAACCGTATGTTCTAGTTGAACCCAAATTGGACTGTTTTCGAGAAACACACTCAATGGCGAATCGATTTGGTTTTCACAAGAGACTCAACTGAATCTCTCGTTTATGCTATTCTACAACTTATTATCGTACCAACTGAAACATGAGGCGGCCTGTGTGCAGCACATTCAGTTGTAGAATATCATAAACGAGAGATTCAGTTGAGTCTCCCGTGTAAACCAAATTGATTTGCAAATGAGTGTATTCCTGGAGAAGAGAGATAAAAAGCTTTCCTTCCCAATGGTCGCTCCCTATGACGCTGGGAGCTGATAGGTACTTGAGGCACTCCAGTTCGTTTCTGGTAGCTTCGCTCAGACTGGTTCTTTATGACAACATTGCCGGTCTTTAGAATAATAATGCTTTACAGTCATCTAGGTTAAGGTCCAGCGCACTGTTTCTCAAATGAGTGTAATCGCTCCTCTGGAACAGAAACATGGAAGGATGAAAGGGATGATGTGGCGGAGCGGATGGAATTCATTTTGTCTGACTGGGAATGTTGGTAGCATGACTTTGAATGAGACCCTCTCTCTTCTTTACCTAATATTCTGTTGTAACCTTTCCACATTCATTGCCTGCATTTACTTTTTTATGCCTGTGTGCATGCTCTTCGAAAATAAACGATAGTAGTGGTATATAGCACTCATAAGGTTGCTGAGAACTTTTCGACAGTTCACTACCGCTTCTGCCCTTCTTGGGTTTCATTAGATAGGATAAGTTCCCAGATCTATTAGCTGACTACCACTTCGTAGAGTTGCTATCACAGGCACGACTAATACGACAGCTGATCACACATGCAAACCACTTTTAAGTGGACCTGACCTGCCATAGCTGGTAAATTGGTCATTTGTTTGAGCAGTCCGCAGTTAAACTGCCGATCGGAGGTCATGTGACTGATGTACATAAACAGACAACGACGGGCAACCAAATAATTCTATGGTATCGTCAAGCCCTATACATGAATGCAATGGTCCAGCCATTGCCCAATAACCCCAAGGCCGAAGAAGGGCTTCTAACACAGAACCGTTGGTGTCTTTTCAGGTTGTAGGAAGATTATACTGCCTGACTTTCTCGGCCACTCGTAGAGCAGTTTGCACTTGTTCTATTTAAATTGCACTTTTCCCAACGAGACCACATCGACGTCATGTGATTATGGTGTATCTGTTCCAAATTCTGGTGATCATATTTACCGGGCTTCTGCGTTCTCGAGTCCTTAACGTGGTTTACTAAACGTTCAACCGTATGTTCTAGTTGAACCCAAATTGGACTGTTTTCGAGAAACACACTCAATGGCGAATCGATTTGGTTTTCACAAGAGACTCAACTGAATCTCTCGTTTATGCTATTCTACAACTTATTATCGTACCAACTGAAACATGAGGCGGCCTGTGTGCAGCACATTCAGTTGTAGAATATCATAAACGAGAGATTCAGTTGAGTCTCCCGTGTAAACCAAATTGATTTGCAAATGAGTGTATTCCTGGAGAAGAGAGATAAAAAGCTTTCCTTCCCAATGGTCGCTCCTTATGACGCTGGGAGCTGATAGGTAGTTGAGGCACTCCAGTTCCTTTCTGGTAGCTTCGCTCAGACTGGTTCTTTATGACAACATTGCCGGTCTTTAGAATAATAATGCTTTACAGTCATCTAGGTTAAGGTCCAGCGCACTGTTTCTCAAATGAGTGTAATCGCTCCTCTGGAACAGAAACATGGAAGGATGAAAGGGATGATGTGGCGGAGCGGATGGAATTCATTTTGTCTGACTGGGAATGTTGGTAGCATGACTTTGAATGAGACCCTCTCTCTTCTTTACCTAATATTCTGTTGTAACCTTTCCACATTCATTGCCTGCATTTACTTTTTTATGCCTGTGTGCATGCTCTTCGAAAATAAACGATAGTAGTGGTATATAGCACTCATAAGGTTGCTGAGAACTTTTCGACAGTTCACTACCGCTTCTGCCCTTCTTGGGTTTCATTAGATAGGATAAGTTCCCAGATCTATTAGCTGACTACCACTTCGTAGAGTTGCTATCACAGGCACGACTAATACGACAGCTGATCACACATGCAAACCACTTTTAAGTGGACCTGACCTGCCATAGCTGGTAAATTGGTCATTTGTTTGAGCAGTCCGCAGTTAAACTGCCGATCGGAGGTCATGTGACTGATGTACATAAACAGACAACGACGGGCAACCAAATAATTCTATGGTATCGTCAAGCCCTATACATGAATGCAATGGTCCAGCCATTGCCCAATAACCCCAAGGCCGAAGAAGGGCTTCTAACACAGAACCGTTGGTGTCTTTTCAGGTTGTAGGAAGATTATACTGCCTGACTTTCTCGGCCACTCGTAGAGCAGTTTGCACTTGTTCTATTTAAATTGCACTTTTCCCAACGAGACCACATCGACGTCATGTGATTATGGTGTATCTGTTCCAAATTCTGGTGATCATATTTACCGGGCTTCTGCGTTCTCGAGTCCTTAACGTGGTTTACTAAACGGGGTGTTTTGGTTACGGTTCGCCCGTCGAAACAATCATATCAAGAGACTGTTTGGAAATCATTGCGACACTTGTCTGTGTACGACCACATGTGAGACTTCCGCCGATTGATAAATCAATCGATTGATGCAGATGCCTTGATTTTGTCTCAAGGCAGAAACAACTACTCATAATTCACTGTTCCAGAATGGGTTGGTAAACAATGGTTTGCGTCGACAAGAATACAAAGGACGTTGGACAGATTTGGCTTGAAGGAACACTAGAAAAACATCGCTGCCTTGAGTAAAAAAAGGCTGAGTGAGGAGTACAACGGAAAATCTAGATAACCTATCCAAAACCATGAACAGTATGAGGCATTCTACAATGCCATTTCGATTATTCCCTCGAGATCATTCCTCTCACATGGGTCTTATAGAACAAATCATCGGTCGGCATCATCCCACTGATATTCTGAGTAGAGCACAAATCGGCCCGCGAAATGATGTGGGTGAAAGTAAAAATATGACATCTGTCTCGGCGGTTGTTCAAACCACACACAACTTCTTTCTGTTTCGTGTTTACTTAATCCTTTTGTGACTTCCAAATAAACGTGCGTGTAGTAAGTCGTCTCTTAATTACTTGGTCTTCTGTGGAAAGAGATTGTGGAGGATCAAGACGAAATCGTGTGAAACGACAAACTGACCTGAACATAACTGTGGCCTCGATGGTACTAGCTACTCCCATGGACTGGGGGAGAGGTCACTTAGTCGGCTCAGTTTATCAGCTTCCAAACCGTTCATCGAAGTACAGGGATTCTAGCTATCATAGCCTCACTAGCCGCTACAAGCACAACAGGAATTTCACCCGAGGCCTTCCAAATTAGGCCTCTGACACTCAACTTCGACCAGTAATGGAGCACCTTTTCTTAAACACTGTACATAGTTGTGTTATATCTGCTGATTCGTCAGTCTGTGGTATCTGCTGCTGACCCTCTCCAGTGCCTAATGCCGGAGAAAAAAGATTCACAGAAGGGAACACAACCGCTATATTCCGAACAAACGGATGCGAGAGCGTGAATGCGTGCAGTGCGAGAGCAAAAGTTACGACGGCCCCACGCTATTTAAAGGGGACTTTCTCACATTGATCCAGGCTGTCTGATAGGCGTTAGTGAACACCCGTCAATATCGATCGTGCCTCTATGGAATGCCTAAATGCTGATCACATTCGGTCGTGCTTCTGTGGCCCAGAGAACACTCATCAGGTTTTACTGAATTGATCGAATGATTGACTGGCCTGGATGCTTGCCAGCTTTCCTGTTGATTTTTTGGTGGGGCAGTAGGTTCCAGGCGTTCTGAGGTTGCTTTCAGGAATCTGACCTTCCTGATAAGTTGACTGTGGTTTTGATGAGTAATCAGCCGAAACCTTGCACGACCTTTCGGGAAATTTGAGAAATGAAAGAAAAATGACTGCAGTTTCTCTACACCCTGAGAAAGTGCAAATCTGGAAGATTGCTCGTAAAGTGGCCTCTCCCAAAGCTGATCTATTGTGAGGAGGGTCACACGTGAGTATGCGTGAATATCCCAACGAGTTAAGCTCAGCGAGCCAAGTCTGTTGAGAAGAATGGATGAGACTGATTAAAGGGTGCGTTGAAGCAGTAATCATTGGTTCTGAATGACCAAATTGGGATGAAAAATGGACCCAGAAACATTTAAAATCCGCCTACCCAGTTGGTCACTCTGCATTGTCACTGCATTCTGATGGTTGCCGTATGAAAATTTCCGCCGGAGCTATCATACCTAGTGTCAACAAACAAAAACCCACGTGAGATCCCTACCACTCTCAGTTTCCCAAAAACACGAGCAATTAATACAACACAAACAATAACAGGATGGCACCAAGAATGCTTTATGCACTCCTTCCGTCACTGCCACTGCGGCAGAAGCTATTTCGGGGACAACCTATTTAGCTGTTGATAGCTGTAGGGCGATAATAACTTGCGAACCCAAACGATACAGGCAAGCACACACGCGGTGTGTTCCACGGTTAATTAGTACAACGGCGTCAGCTGTTGCTGTGACTGACTTGGAGACCGCACTGAATTTTCCCATACAAAAACACCTATTCATTACCTAGCCTCAGCGCTATGTGTGTTGCCTGGTGGTGATGATGGGGGGGGGGGGGGGGTGAATCGATTGAATGATTGACTGGCCTGGATGCCTGCCGGCTTTCCTATTGATTTTTTGGTGGGGCAGTAGGTTCCAGGCGTTCTGAGGTTGCTTTCAGGAATCTGACCTTCCTGATAAGTTGACTGTGGTTTTGATGAGTAATCAGCCGAAACCTTGCACGACCTTTCGGGAAATTTGAGAAATGAAAGAAAAATGACTGCAGTTTCTCTACACCCTGAGAAAGTGCAAATCTGGAAGATTGCTCGTAAAGTGGCCTCTCCCAAAGCTGATCTATTGTGAGGAGGGTCACACGTGAGTATGCGTGAATATCCCAACGAGTTAAGCTCAGCGAGCCAAGTCTGTTGAGAAGAATGGATGAGACTGATTAAAGGGTGCGTTGAAGCAGTAATCATTGGTTCTGAATGACCAAATTGGGATGAAAAATGGACCCAGAAACATTTAAAATCCGCCTACCCGGTTGGTCACTCTGCATTGTCACTGCATTCTGATGGTTGCCGTATGAAAATTTCCGCCGGAGCTATCATACCTAGTGTCAACAAACAAAAACCCACGTGAGATCCCTACCACTCTCAGTTTCCCAAAAACACGAGCAATTAATACAACACAAACAATAACAGGATGGCACCAAGAATGCTTTATGCACTCCTTCCGTCACTGCCACTGCGGCAGAAGCTATTTCGGGGACAACCTATTTAGCTGTTGATAGCTGTAGGGCGATAATAACTTGCGAACCCAAACGATACAGGCAAGCACACACGCGGTGTGTTCCACGGTTAATTAGTACAACGGCGTCAGCTGTTGCTGTGACTGACTTGGAGACCGCACTGAATTTTCCCATACAAAAACACCTATTCATTACCTAGCCTCAGCGCTATGTGTGTTGCCTGGTGGTGATGATGGGCGGGGGGGGGGGGGCGAATAGCTTGAGAACCGGGGAGGTTATGTAGCCGTGTTCCGTGGGAAACGAGAAGATTTATGCTTATTTGTTTATCCATGATGGCAAATTGCGGGAAGAACAAGGCCGGTGCCAACAATCAACCATGTGGTGCCTATTCACGCTTTCAGAGACTTTCTTTGCTTGCTTCAAAGAAGCAACGTGTCAGAACCGGGCTCCGAATAAGCGACCGCACTGGTAACAGAGTTGTACGGTGATCACACTCTCATCACATGCTTGGACGTGTCCCCCACAACTACATCTAACACGTTTACCTGGTCACTTAGAGGTAAGAAATTCATGGGCTCTGATAGCAGTTGTCACTAAAACAGACTCGAAGGGGTACCCAAATCCAAACTGTCCCTTTTGAAAATATAAGGAACACAAGTAAACTCAGAGAACCATTAGGTTTTCATCGTGTCCGTGTTTGGCAGAAGAGTAAAAAATTCACATACTTTCAAATTCATGGTTTGATCAATAAACCCCCTACCAGGTCAACTTAAACTGTTTGTCTTTGAAGGAAAATCGTTCGGAATAGTGGAACTTTTCTTTTCGGTGGATGATCGGTGGAGGTACAGTCCTCGGAAAAATTGTTTACAATGGTTAGCAAAAAAGTCACATGATCGGCCGATCTGATGAGCCCCGATCTGGGCGATGGGCCTCGTGTGACTGAGATCTTTGGAACCGAGCACGATTAGATTAACTTACACTAAACCAACGCTCAGGTGAGACTATTCTTGTCTCTTTCAAAGGGAAGTTTTGTATGCTGTGCGAGAAGCCGCTTCAGTGGAGATTTCGCTCCTCAAATGACGCCAACCTCTACCGAAAGTAGTCAGCAGTATGCATCTCGCACCTCTCTATGATGATTCGATTCTCTGCCCATGCTGTTGGTGGTTGAACATTATATTACTGGCGGGTGATCAGTAGTGTGTTTAGCCACGCACTCAGAGTACGGGACCATTGTCCTTCAGTCGCATATTCAATGTCCACTGGTCTAGTTTTTACTGGCTACTCGGGGAGCGATTTTTCAGCTCCCTATTATTCTGTTTCAATGACGCTTCGGCTTATTTGCTTACATCTCACATGAGTTATTTGTTTCATTGGTAGGTTCTCCATTCCAGTCTGGATGACCTTCACAACCATGTGCACGTAACTGCCATACTACAACTCTTCACAAGATGATAACTGTGGTAGCTTGATCGCGGAACATGAAGCAGGGTAACCTAATCAGCGTGCTCGTGGTCAATGTTGTGCAGTTGTTCTTTCATCCTTGTCAGTATCATACAGCTAGCTGGCAGAACTTTGGCATTTGTCCTTTCCTCTCTTTGAGGGGATCGATCTTAGGCCAAGCTGGACAGTACCCACAATTTGCACTTAAATTCAACCGCATTTCGTTGTTCAAGACGCTACTTAAGAAATAGGACACGTAAAGCCTAGGGGAAACCAGTACACCCTCATATGGTTCATTGATAAAAACGATGTTGGTTGAACTGGCGGTTGACAGCGGATATAACTTGTATTCGAGGTTGATATTGTCAACCTAAAATAATTCCAAACATTTTTACTAGTCATTTTTCTGTATCAGAAACAATATGACTTGGATCCAGGATTGAATGAAACGTGAAACCGTAAAAACGTTTTACGTATCTTGGAAGTTGCATTAGTTCTGATTGTAGTGTGACAGATGAGGTGAGTGCATGAATCTGAAAGGCTCGGGCCGCGTTTGCAAAATTGAGACACCTGTGGCGTAAGAATGGTTTATCCCTGAATCTGAAGGGACGTGTGTATCAAACTACAGTACGGGCTGTTTTGTTGTATGGCTGTGAGACTTGGCCTATTCGAGCAGCGGAACTGAGACGTCTTCAGGTGTTCGACAATCGTTGTCTCAGAACCATAGCTCGTGTGGGTTGGTGTC